TACGCCATGTCCGGAACAGGGTACACAGAAGTATCTCCATAGGGGCTGATCCAGGGTAGTTTTAGAAACTTACTAGGCCCATCCAAGCCTAGTTCTGGCTGCTTGTCTACGGGTACAGCTCGACGGTTCAATCCCAGATTATCATCTTCTCCATCAAGAACAAGCTGAGGTTTCTGCAGACTTGGAGGTAGGATTTTATGGAATTCAGCATTGCCGTTTACAGTTTTCTGGCCTTCCAAAAGGGGCACATCAGACTTGTACAAGAGATCATAACCAAGGCGAAGAGAGGTGCCAGGCACCTGGGACTTTTGTGCAGAAAGAGGGTGAATGCCAGGGTAGAAAATCCCCTCCGGCAGTCGAAGGCTTTCCTCTACCAAAGAGTTACGATCAATACTGAGAGCAGCTATTGGGTTCATCGTATGAGTGGTGCCGGCATCCACCTGGAACAGGGAAAGTCAAACTAAGTCCTGCACTCTTTATAATCTGTAATAACACCAGGTCAATTTTACGTAACCTTTAAAACGAACAAAGTGACATGAACGGGATGTTCAAGTTCAAGAATACCAACCAATACAGTACAGTTTAGAGTCATTATCTGCTCCAAAACATCTCAATGTTGAAAGGCTTTGTTAGGAATCATTAACATGATTCCCCTGTTTGTTTGGAGCGAGTCTGGGATTTCTAGGCGTAAACAGACTAGCCGCGGCTAATCTAACCGGCGCTTTTAATGACGTCACTGCCGTGCGCCAATCTGTTTTTATTAAGATTACCGGTAGATGTACCTTTGTCCTACTGTGGAGAAATTCGTTTTCTCCCTTTATTGACCAACAGAGTTGTTCAAAAGTACAGAACAAAACATATGGCATTACATCTTATGACAAAAATGCACCTTAAACAGAGTTTAAGCAGCAAAACATCACTCTGCAAATAGTGTATATAGTGAGACAATTCATGATTTAAAGTGTTAACTTTCGCCAGTTTTTGTACGCACGTTTTAAAATATGCTGATACTTGAAAGGTTTAAGCACTTTACACACTTAATTCTTAACATTTAATTTTTGCAATATAAACTGAGGAATGTTATTTTGTGAATAAACTTGTTCAATAAATTGGTGTTTTTAAATAGTATCGAAATCGAGCATCGAGTTTTTTTCCAGTATCGAATCGAGTTTGAAATTTTAGTATCGTGACAACACCCTACTTCCCCTCTCTCTCTCTCTCTCTCTCTCTCTCTCTCTCTCTCTCTCTCTCTCTCTCTCTCTCTCTCTCTCTCTCTCTCTCTCTCTCTCTCTCTCTCTCTCTCTCTCTCTCTCTCTCTCTCTCTCTCTCTCTCTCTCTCTCTCTCTCTCTCTCTCTCTCTCTCTCTCTCTCTCTCTCTCTCTCTCTCTCTCTCTCTCTCTCTCTCTCTCTCTCTCTCTCTCTCTCTCTCTCTCTCTCTCTCACTTTCATTCCTTTCTTATCTCTTGGTCTAAATAAACTCTGTGACCAGATGTTCGGGGCATTTTGCCTCATGCATTGTGCCACAGTCATAACTGTTAGACTTGTCTGTTCATTGTCTCCTTCTTCTCTTTGACTACAGGAAATGGGTTATTGATAAACATATTGACAAAATCCATGACATTATTTGGTCCTTCGAGCCAGAGTCCCATCACCTCGCGGCGCCAAGGACCAATGCCGGAGAAAGGTTGACAACCTAAATCTCCTCCAGCGCTGAGATTTGCTGGGGGTAGGTGAGGTCTTGACGTCGCTAGGAGGAATGCGGATCCACGAGCTCAAGCCCTGGCGGCGCATGCACACGCAGCGGCTTCTCTCTCTCCCCGTTCTTTAGCGAGAGTTTGAGAGTAACATAATTTCATTTCTCTGTATGTCTTGTACATGTGGTAGAATGATAATAAAACTGACTTAGACTTTGACTTTGGAGTGAAGAGATTTGGTGAGACAAGTTTGTTTCTTGTCGTTTTGTCTTGTGGTACCGAGAGAAAATCCTAGGTGACCAGGGGTAAAATTGGTTGGTTCGCCGGAAGGGACTTGTAGAACAGATTCCTGGAGTGCTGTTTTGGTATGGTTACAATAATGCACTAGAGCGGGGGAGAGAAGATAAACAGATTCCGGGAATGCTGTATTGGCTTGGTTCTTTGGGTGTTTTTGCCGAAGTATAAACGCTACCCTGGTGTGATAAAGTTATAAATGATAAATGAGAAAGTGTACCGATGTGATAACTAAGAGGTAAAATTGGTTTTTGGGCGTTTTGACCTGAAATATAAACGCAACTTTGTTTTGGCCTGGCCTATGGGCATTTTGCCTTGAATAGAAATGCTACTCCATTCTCATCGTTGAAAAAAAATTTGTCAATCGCGTTGAAAGACCAACTGACCAGGTCCATTTTAGTAATTTCAGTTTCCAGTTTTCCAGAAAAAATGCAGAAGCGCCGTACAAACAAGAGACAGACGAAGAGCCTTGGGATAAGATAGGGAGAAGAGGAGGAAAAAAGTGTCTGTACTCTCCAGGAGCCAGAGGAAGAGAATGATGCCTACAGTGAAGCATGGTGGTGGAGGTGTCCTTATGTGAGACTGCATGTGTGCTGGATGGTATCATGAACTCAACAATGTACTGCTCTATATTGAAGGAGAAGTTGCTGCCATCACTCCACGCACTTGGTCGTCGTGCACTTTTCCAACACAACAATAATTCAAAACACACATCTAAAGCTACTGCTGCATTTCTGAAGAATGGGTGAAGATGACTGAATGACCAAGTATGTCTCCTGATCTGAACCCAAACGAACACCTGTTGGAATTCTGATGCAACAAGTTTAGCATCACTCTCCATCCAGCATCATTACCACCAAGGCAGCGGGCTTTTGTCTACGCTGCTCCGTCCCTCTGGAATGCTCTTCGTCTCTCAGTGATGCTGGCACCATCCCTCCCCCGCTTCAAGTCACTGCTGTAAGGCCCACTTTTACGACCAGGCATTTTTAAAACCTTGACTTTTATTAATTATTTTTTTTATGTATTCTTTTATTGACTGTGATTTTACTGCTTTGTTGTGTACTTTTTATTATTGATTGTGTTTTTGTTTTTATGTTGTGTTTTACTTTTTATCTGTACAGCACTTTGGTTGACTGCCATGCCATTTTTAAATGTGCTTAATAAATAAAGTTGGTATGGTATGGTATGGTATGGTATGGTATGGTATGGTATGGTATGGTATGGTAAGTGTGTGCGTGTCTGCTCTGTCTTCTTGATGCTCAGTGAGTCGTGGTGGATGGCTGCTTATGCTGAGCCAGGATCCTCTGGAGGTTTCTTCCTGTTAAAAGGGAGTTTTCCTCTCCACTGTCGCTACATGCTTGCTTAGTATGAGGATTGCTGTAAAGATTCAGTGACTCGATGCAACCTGCTGGGTTCCTTATATAGGAAACTTTTTACTGATTGGCTTAATAAACTAAACTGTATTGGAATGTTTACTATGTGAAGTTCATTAAGACGACTCCTGTTGTGATTTGGCGCTATATAAATAAACTGAATTGAATTTCACGTTATGGAGTTAAACAGGTGTTCAATAAAACCCAGTCTTGGGAAAATTATAGAAATTGTTATTTTGTTCATTGAACTACTGGTTAAATTCATACTTTTTAAAGGGGGCATACTCATTTATGCTGACCACTGTATTTTGACAGCATTTATTTTTGTCAAGGATTCAGATTTGTTTTTAACTAAACACAAAAACTAAAAGATTGTCCATAAATCTGATGTAGATGTAGCCTAAGTTCATTCTGGAGCTCAGATTGTTTATTCACATCAGGCCGACTTAAACAGGACTACACCAAGTTATCCTCCTGTGTTTCATTAGTAATGAGATTTGTGGCTTTCTAAGTTAGTTCCTAACTTTATAACATAATAGGTGCTGATGCTGACGTTAGACAAGAGATCTAATCCCATCCAGTGGAAGCACGGAGGTGGCAGCATCATGGTGATGTGGGGATGCAGAAACACAGAGGTTGACTGGTGTTTCATATTCAGGAGACACGCTGCTGCTAGAGTTTTAGAATAGAAAGGTCCTCAAGATCTGCAGGAAGCTGGTGGAATGGTCTAAAAACATCTGTTTTCCTCGATGCTTCCAACATCCCACACCACCTCCACTTGGTCATAATGTTATGGCTGACTATTGGTTTTTATCAGCACAAATATTCCAAAAAGAAATTAAGCTACCAAGTTTAGATTATTGTATTTAATATTTAGATTTGATCAAAATATAGATTTTTACTCACCTGTTTCTTCTTCTGTGGCGTTAAATCCAGCTTTAACGGAAATCTTCCAGGTTTAAATTCCATCCGGAGAGAAACGTAAATAAACCCATAAATCCATCACAGAGCCGCCGTGGGCGCGTGCCCGTGGGTGCATGGCCACGTTCGCGCTTTCAGCAGACTTGTTTCCGTTGCGTGAACTCCGCCATGGGAACACAAAGGAAGACGAGTTACCTGCGCAGCGCGTGCACTTCTCTGACAACTATCAGCAGGAGAGTGCACGTGCGGTCGCAGAGTCTCGTCAGACGCGAAGCAGGTCAATCTGACCACGTAAAAAAAGACACGCAGATTACATTCATGCGGAACAATCGTTAGAGATGTGCGCGCGCAGATTTTGTTTTATCCTTCTCGGTGCTTACACAGGGCTGTCCTTTTTCTCGGCTCGTCCTATTCTCCACGCTCTCTCTCTCACGCACACGCACATACACGCGCGTGCGCTTCATGATCAAAAAACGGGGTGATCAGCCGCGTTTCCGATTTAAAGCTTTCAAAATAAATTGAAAGTATTTTCCATTTTAATGATTGATTTTCCACAACTTTTATTGTTTTTCGTCTGATTTTAAGAAATCTCGTTCTTAGATAAAGCATTTAATCACAGTTTAATCTTTACTGGAACACAAAACAATTTTCTGTGAACATTTAGTTTCAATTCCTGCCCCCCAAGGCCCACTATTCTCCATGATGTTTAGTTCTATTGCTGGATCTATACACAGACTAAAAGGGATTTTAACCGTTTTGTTCTATTACTCTGTTTATAGAATCAAACTAAATTAAATGAGCAACCAACACAGAACAAACATAAAGATGCTGTTTAGCAGCTTTGCAGAAAGCTGGTTGACACCTACCTAAATCAGGTGTAGAAGCTTAGAGACCTCTAGAACATGCAGGACGGTGGCCCAGGAGGACAGGGTTGGACATCAATGATAAAGAAGAATCACAATGTTGCTGCATATCTTACAGTAACCTCTCACTCCAGTTGTTTAAATCTATTTTTATGCTTTTATTTTGAAATTACAATGACACATTTTCATCCTAATAAGGTGGGAAAACAAAGATTTGATTGAAAACCAAACTTTTGCTTAATTCCTTTATTCATTTGAAAGTTAATTTTAAATCTATGGCTTTTTTATGGAAACATCTGAAGCAGAATCTCTGGAGCTTAGATTAAAGTTAGAATATGGAACATTTTAATAAAAAGCGATATTAAAAACTATATACCTCCATGGGGCATTCAGAGGGGTGCAGAATGGATGTACAGTTGCTCCTTTAAAAGCTGTATTTAAAAAGAAAAATAATCACATTTTTATTCTGTGGGGCACAACTTTGTTTTTGTTTACTTATAACAGCCACTAAAGGGCACCGTAGCACTAAAACGTCACTCAGCAAGGCAAGGTTGGATCTGTGTCAAATGGCAAACTTGACAAGTCAAGCAGCTGATTGTGAGCCCAGAAGATGTTCTAACGGTAAATTATGTTGTAAAATACACGTATTAGTAGAAATTAGTCCGGTGCTGGAATGTGTCAGCAGTGAAACAACACCCCAACGGCCTGTTGTTGCAATACACCTCTGAACACCAGAGTTCGCCAGTGTGTTCGACAGTGTCTGCGTTCCATATTCATCCTTTAAAGTTTGTCACTTAGAAACAGTGACATAACTTCTCATCAGCTGTTTTTTGTGGTTATTTTGGTTCTGAGATAAATATTCATACAAACTGCAAGTGAAAACAGTAACACAAAGGAATCACAGGCTGTCTTAAAGTGGAAGCTTACAGCCATGCTTTGTCTAAAGTAGTCCCATATCTAAAATGGCGCCCGTGATTTCTTTGTGTTACTTATTATTCTCACTAGCAGTCAGTCTGATTATTGAGGTCAACGAGCAGATTCAGATTCACTGTTGAGTTATTTTAATGACTTTTTCACACACAAGGCTAGTTGGTACCATTCACTTCCATTGTTTTATTCTAAGCTAAAGCTAAGAGTGCTGCCGGATCAGGTGAATGGCTGAGCTGGTTACAAATAGTTTTTCCTACTTATCTAACTCTGGGGAATATTACAACAGATTAAATTTTACTTTGGATTGGAATGTCCCTTTTAACTGTAGCTTTAAAAAATAAAATGAACAAAGATTCAAAAAAACACCTTTTAATATTTTCTGTGTATAATCTTGTGTACACCAAGAGCTCCTGCTGTATAAACAAAATAGATCATTCATTTTTTAACACGTCAGCTTTTATTTTCTAATTTTCTGAACCCCAACTGAAATATTAGATTTATTTTATTATAGGTCTACTCAGATGCTTCCATGATGACAAAAATTAATAAAGTAATAAATCTACATCATCAGGCCTGAACCCAGCAAGTGCTTAAATTTTGTTTAATGAGCATAAAAGTCTTAGAGAGCCCTAATTATCTAGAACCTGTGTTTGAATCATTTCTGATCCAAGGTGGTTTAGGTGGGATGGTTCTCTACTGCATGACTTATTGTTTTTTTTGGCTGAAAACATATTTCACCCCATTGGGATCTTGGCTGTCCCTGAAAATACATCCATCATAAACTTGGACCCCCACCCTCCAGGACTAAGTTAGTTGCCGCGGGACAACGCTGTGCTACAAGAGTTCTAAAACCCCAAAGTTTTCTTCATGCGACACATCAGTGGTTTACAAGCCTTACGAGTTTATTTAGATCCAGGAATCTGAAAAAGAATGGGCTGGCTCGGCCAATTATGTAGCGTGGTTACTACATACTAGGATTTAACACTGTTTGCTTCAGTTTGCTTAGATCCTGAGAAAAGATCGGACATTGGCATATGAACATAGGATATTAATGCAGTCGATAGAAGTTCATACACTAACTGTCTTGGTCTATATTTTAATTCAAAGATTAAGGTTTAAGATAATTAAATTTAATAGCAAAAGTTTATTTATTGAATCAGAAGTTAGGAATCTTTGCTTATTCAATAACCAAAATATACACCATTCTGTGTTTCATTTCAAAGAAGAGTCAGGTTTTTGAAAGTTAAGAATTTATTACTAACACTTTTAAAAATGACAATTTGAAATGACAGTTTGACAATTTGAAACAGCTTGATATTAAAACTTGTAATTAAACAAACCTGTGTCTGGATGGAAAACTAAGGTGGAATGTGAGGTTTGGGATGCATGAATGAATCTCAGAAGGTTTCCTTCAGAGAGAGAAGC